TCATTTTCTCACTAATACTACGGTGCTACATTATTAATTTAAAACTGTATTTAGCCTGACATGCTAAAGTGCTAGGCCTCATTATTAATGCATAAACCCATGCCTCTGTTGTTTAATTAAACACCATGATTATGAAGTTCTGATGTGGTTTAATGATAGCAGGCTGGAGTGGCAGTACATTCCTGTGCTCAGATCTCCCCCATTCCCCTCCTCCCTACTGCTTTATCCTTTCATTTCCCATTAAAAGCACAAATGCAGTTGTTCTGCTGAATAAACACCACATGACAGATGATGTTGATCTTTCCAAGGTGACACAGAATTACATTTTTATTTTCCTAGGCTTAGATTCTTACTGACCAGAGATTTCCATCCTCCATTTTTTTAATAGCTGTAAAGATAAGTGTTTCTATTCCCCAAAATACCACGAAATTGTGATTCCCCATAAAGTCAACAGGAGTTTGCAACTGATTTCAAGAGGACAGAATCTCACTCAAAGGAGAGAAGGGCCTGGAGAAGAAGCCTGGACCATTGTTGTACATGTCTGTTTAAACATAAGTCCAAATATTTGCTTTCTTGGGAATGGAGCTTGATCAAGGAGAAGAAGATGAGTCAGTAACAGAGATCTCAATATTTTTTCAGGGTAAGACAAAGGTTATCTGCAGGATGGCACAGATGTATTTGAGCTTTCCAGGCAGAACTGTGGGCTGAACGGAGTTTTGAAATTGCCACTGTGTTGTACTATATCACGTAAGAATTACATGGATCTAGACCAGGATAATAAACCCTGTGGACATGTCCCACCTCAGTGTCCCTACTAGCATCTTTTGAAGTTATTCATGATTGTTTCATGCAGCTCACTGTGTTCTCCTTGGAATCTCCGCAAAACTATGACTTTCTGGGTATTTCTGAAAGACTTCCTGCTTCGTATTCTCAACTTTTTCCCTCAAACATCTGTCTTCAGTACCTTATCCCTCCCTGCTCCTGGTAGTAGTTCTTTCTGAACAGCAGCTCACMCAGCCTAGTTTGCAGAGCCTTTTACTTTATTGACTAGGAGTAAAATTAAACATATACTTATGTACTTTCCAGCTTAATAAGGGATTTAAGCAGATCAGCCCTCTGCGCCTCTGTTTCTCTTCATGCTCCTTGCCTGTCTGGTCTGTTCAAACAGGAAATCCTTGGTTTTGGAACCTGCCCTCTCCCTAAATTTGGGGCCCTTTCACTCTTTTGAAGTCCAAAGTATTTGTTTAGACTTGTTTGGAACCAGAATTKTCCTCCAAGTCAAGGCAGATCCTGGTCCGGCTAGAGGGACAGGAGGGAGAACACGTTGCATGACTGCAGCCATCCATCTGGCCATTCCTAGTGAGATGGGCAAAGTCCTGTGTGCCATTGAGGTGAGTTCAAAGCTGACAACTGCCACTTTGCACTGCAGAGCCCAAACTATGTTTCTAAATGAAATGGGCATTTGGTTCAAACACATCATTGATTCTCTCCCTTGCATCTCTTTAAGAAGAAAATGGTTCATTCCAATGAGAAGGTTCCAATCCAATTAGAGCTCAGAGGGCGGCGATCAGCGGCACAGAGTCTAGTTGGAGACCTGTAGCAGTGCCTTCATGGCCAAGAAGGCCAACGGGATCCTGGGGTGCATTAAGAGYGTMTCCAGCAGGTCGAGGGAGGTGATCGTCCCCCTATRCACAGCCCTGGTGAGGTCACATCTGGAGACTGTGTCCAGTTCTGGGCTGCCCAGGACAAGAGGGATGTGGAGCTGCTGGAGAGAGTCCAGCGCAGGGCTACSAGGATGATCAGCGGCCTGGAACATCTGCCCTATAAGGAAAGGCTGAGGGAGCTGGGCCTGTTCAGCCTAAATAACCTTCTAACAGAGAGATGACCTTTTTTTTTGCGTTTATATGATGCTTGTTGCTAGGATTTAGATCTTTGCTGAAAGCTGTTATTTCTTTTAAGTACAGGAGAAAGTGCATTTTCACCTCCATTTGGGTAAACTGTCATTTTCTACTGTTCACTGCTTTTCTCACCATGGAATAATAATTTGAGGTTCAGTGGGTTTTTTGAGAGAAATGCATTCCAGGAGTGTTGGGAAGTCCTCTCTGTTTGCTGCTAGAGGAGGAAAGGAAGAGGAGGGAGAAGGTTTCTGAAACGCTCAAGGCTTCTGAGTGCTGCCGTTGCTCAGCTTCTGCCATCAAATYGTATTCAATTTAGGAGGGTCATGCAGGTATTTTATAATCGTACACAAAAAGCAGCTGGTGGGTAGCTGAGAAGCTATATATGTATGCATAATAAATTATTTTTTGGTGGTAGCAGTAGCATCCATGGGAAGCCACTTTAAGTAGATTTAAGAGGATTCTGTCCAACCATGATACTGATGAATAACAGAAGTAATCTAATATTGCTCCTTGTATACCTGTGTTAGAAGTGTTATTGTAAGTCATGCTATTAATACATGATGCAGTGGGAACTTAACTACTTCAGATGCAGTAGGCTGTAACAGAGTGAGGGGGAAACTTAAGTGCATGTGTRCAGATCACTTCATGATACGTAGAAATGAGCATATTACTCCTCCTGGAATGTTTTCTTGGATTATTAGTTTCTATAGTCAACAAGGAATTAGAAGAAACTGGAAAAGCACCATCATTACTGTCAGTTCTCTTTTCTCTGCAAAAGATCATTGGTTAAATTCTCCAGCTCCTTTGGCATTTCGTTTCTTCCCACTTATTTTGTAGATGACTTGTTTTGAAAATAATTTACTAATGTAATTTGGAGGTCATTTGAAATTCTCAATACTTAGTAAATGTGTGAGTTGATAAGTGGTTTAAGTAATTTAGTCATAGTCATTCATGTTTAAGGAAGGAAGTTTGCTGATGACAGTTCAAAATTTTATCTTGTTTTGATTAGACAGGAAATTAGCCTTGTCAAATAGGTCCATTCAGTCAACTTGTGGATTTGGAAAGTTTTCAAGCAAAGTTCACTTGCTAAAATAGTAGAAAAAAAGAAGTAGGAAAAAAAAAAAGAATGAGAAAAATGCAAATCCACTAAGTGTTAATCTGTGCAAGTCCATTTAAATATTTGAACAAACATGCCAGGATATTTTTTAATGTACTCACATGAAAGTATTGCTGCAACTACAGAACACAAAACTGTTGATGTTCCCTGCACTTACTGGATCTGATTTGCTGTCATGATGTGCTGATATTCTGGTTCCCATGAAGATGCCGAGAAAAAAAGAAGTCCTTCAGAATGGAAATTAATGTCTCAGAGGTGGGATTTTCTGTGTCATGGAACTTCTTTTTTTCTACTCGGCAGTAAGTCTTAGCTCTCGAATTGCTCAGAGGGTAGCTACAGTTCATAGCATCATAAGAAGAAGACATTTCAGTTTGCACTTCAGTAACCGTCATGTATTGCTTTATACCAGCAAATCTTGGCCTTGCCAGATCCAGGGAGCTGTGGCACCATCCATATCTTCATTCTTCTGTGCCTGAATCAGGGATCTGGCTCAGCCATTCTGTGTCACACACCATCTTTTCTGCATCCCCGATTTCCTATTTCTCCTTGCTTAGCCTTGACCTCCAATGTGTTCCTTCCAAAAATCTCAGCCTGTCTAGTGCAAGATCATTTCTCTGTACATGATCTAAACTCTGGAACAGCTTCCCTCATTCCTTCACTACACTAACCCATCACCTTCAAATCTCAGCTGAAAATATTACACCTTTCCCTGTGCAATTATTTCTTTCTGGCAGTATAAATGCTTAGCTCTTTTGAATGTGGATATGTTGCTACAGATGCATGAGTAGTGTTATACAAAATAAAATCTCATGGCTGGCATCCGCATCAGTGAGAAATTCTGTTTTTCTTTCTATTAAAAATCTGTAATTTAAACATTGAAGTAAAAGAAACAATATTAATAGATGTAGATTTTCCAGTAGTAGAGGAAAAGGAACAGAGCATGAGGACCCTGCTTCCTGGAGAAAGATACCCCAAAAATTCAAGGATGTGCAGCTGCAATTGTCTCCAAAGAAAAAAATGCAAGCTGAAAACATTTCTTGAGCATATTCAAACTTCACTCGCTCGAAACTACTGCTCAAACACTTTCATAAGTTGGATATGCTCTTTGCCAATCTCCTAGTATTTTAGGTGGAAAGTGGTGCATTAAGCATTATCAGTCCTGTAAGATAATTGAATGGAACGTATTTCTGGGGAATGGCACAAAATTACACTGCTCGGTGCTGAATGTGTGGGATGCTGTGATTTCCGAAAGGTCAGCCAGGCCAGCCAAGTTAGCAGGAATAGTCCCTCTTTCCATCCTCTCTCTCTGCCTCACACGCACTTACACGAGATAGAGCAATCGACAGTTTCATTACAACTGAAACAACTAAAATTAATCAAGTCCAAATCCCTCCTGTCCAAGAGACCATGAATTCAGCTGGATCAGAAGCCCTTGGTTAAGCAGCCCCTGAAAGTCTATCAAAGTTTATTAATATGGTAATTTATATGGGTAAGCGCATAAAGATGCTAATTGAAATGTTTTTTTATGCATTATTTTTTAWAGGAGGAAAGGTTGGGGATTTTCTAGGAAGGAAGACTGAATTGCTGCTTATGTTTCATCATGTCATAAAGTTATAATTTCAGCATTTGACTATGCTTCATTTTAATTTTATATATATTTTTTTTAACTGCGAAGAACAAAGAACTTGATACTCCAAAGATTTGGGGCTTGTGCTACGTCTGGTTCTGGTCTTGATGCATGGAGATAGATTGAATTAATCAAACTTCTTCACACTGCTATTTAATCGGGTTTACAATTAGCTGAGGGCTGCAGGTCTCCCGGGCCTATCAGCTTTGCAAGCAGAAGCTGTAATACAGCAGCTCTGCAGCCACACACTGGGAGTGCCTTACAGACCAGATTGTCATAATGTGGCATGAAATTAAAGCACGATGTTACTTGACAACAGAATTTCAATTTCTCCCTCCCCCTCTTTCTTCTCTTTAACAAAGTCTCTACCTAGAGATAGGCCTCCCTGTTGAGCTGCACCCACCTGCTCTGAGCTACGCAGCTGCCTTCAAAAGAGTTTCTGATACTATTAAACCAATCTGTGTTCCATTACAGTCATTGTGATCTTCCTCCCTGTCTGCTTTCAGTGGCAGATTATTTTGCTGTGAGGAGCTAATAAGCATACAGCTCTTAACTTGTTTCAATTCTTGCTCAAATGCATTGATTTCTTCTCTCCCTCTCGTCTCAGAGCACGGGGGATTTTCGCTGGGGTCTGGTCTCCCCAGTCCTGCACGCACAGTTATTTCAGGCCTCCCCAGCTGCCCTGCTGCCATTTACACTGGTAAAAACAACTTGCATTCAGATAAACAGGCACCTAGGAGTGAAGAATCGGGGTAGATTTTTCCTCCCMTTAGCCTTCATTTCTTGAGAAGCAGACTGAGTGCAAATTAGAAAATGGGGTTCAGTTTCACCTCCCACCAACAAGTCTTATGGACTTAATAGCAGCAGAAATTAATCGTCTGGGTGATGATGAATAGATTTAGCTATTTTACAAACCCTGTCATTGGATGGAAAGAGAGAAAAAACACAGTGAAGCCAGAAGATCTGGGAAGAGAGAGGTGAGAGTCAGATGCAGCTGATAGTGGGGGATATTATTGCTTCTTTGAACTGACCTGGAATCCAATCCGATACAACAGACACCATAGAATCAATGGAAGAGGTCCCTGTAATTATGAAAGAGGAAAGGTTCAACGTATTTTTCTGATGGTGAGATTGACTGTGGAGTAAGTGCCAATCTAGCACATTTGAAGCCATTAGAGTTACCTTGGGCAGAAGAAATATAAATCGAGGTTGAGAAGCCTGGCACAGGGCTGTGAAYGGGGATCCATCTCTGGTCCTGCTGAAGGGAATGAATGAGGATCCCGTAGAAGAAGATCCCACAGAATCAGGCTCTTCGTGGTACAGGTTGGCCACAGCCACGTATTTCTCATAATTTGACTAGATCTGGAAATAATTGGTTCCACTTCCACTTTAGACCTTATGCTTTGTAGGAACAGGTTCTGCATGTTAGCTCTGCTCTTTGCACCTCTGAATTATGAAARATATTTGAATTCCATCTCTTTTAATATCAGCTACTGAGTGAAAATGAAAAACATGTCCACAGAGCAGCATCCATAAGTGGACTGCAGGGATGAGGCTCATGCAAAACAGACAGAATTATAACTCCTGCATTAATCTTATCTGTATCTGCTGCCTGCAATAGCATAGAGCTACAATTCTGAGTTGTTCAGACATATTTAATCAGAGTAACTTCCATTTAGTTATGAAACTTAGCAACAAAATGAACATTGCTTGTTACAAAAAATCTGCAAGCTACTGTCCTCCCTTGCTCTCCMTTTCTCTTCTCACCTGGAAAGAAGAATCCTCCCAAGGATTAGATGATTATTCAGAAGATGRATTCTGCCCCCACTCAAAGTGAACATTTCCTCTCCCACTGAAATCCACAACCAGGTGCAAGACCAAGGTGGTTTTAAGCATTAGCATTTGATACAGGTTGGCCTGCAAACACCTGTAGTTTACCTGGCTGATAGGAACCATTTGTGGGCTTAGGGGGTAAAGGAAAAAAACAGTGAACTTTAAAAAGCAGAATTAAAAAAAAAACATTTTGAAAAAAATCAAACTTAATGAAATGAGGTGAAATAATTTTCTCAATTTGCCTGGGCATTTTAAATTGAAAGCAGAGTGTAACCTCTGCTTGTAAATTACTGTAAACATTTCAATCACTCTCTAATTCATGGTAAAAGATAAGGAAAGCTGGAGCGCGGAATATTAAACAATGATCATTACTGGGAAGTCAGTCTCTTTGTTTTGCCCTGTTTTTACTGGGCCAGAGTCTCTAGGATTTTGCAGAAAAAAATGTTTATATATATATATATAATATACGCACACGTACATATAAAATAAATGAATATTTATGAAGAGTTTGCTAGTGGCAGACCAGGCTGGCCCTGCAGGCCCAAAGGAATTAATGTAAATTCCAGTCAACCGTGAAAAYCCCCTAGAATTGAACTGTATTTCAGCATGGTGGATAAAGCACATCAAAGAGCAGAATTTCTATAAGATAATTACACACAATGCAACTCTAATCACAGAAAGACTGTGGATATTGCTGATAAAGCGTAATAAATCTTTTATGACTATGCCTCATTCTGCTGAATCAGCTTTCTGTTTCTATTGCAGTAAACTCAAGATTCTTGCTCTTACTTATATATTTACAATTTTTAAAAACACATCAACTAATGATTTACTATAGCTTCCATGAAAGGTTTGTGTTTGTTTAGTTTGTTCCTTGTTGAAATGCAGTTAGATCAACAACAGCAAAAATTCATCTCTCTTGGCTGGCAGATCTGCAAAAATAAATGATATATAAGTTGAGAAGCTGCTTTTCTGTTGTATTTTAGGAAATTGGAGTAATTTCAGTTTTGACAGTTCCAACTTCGCAAAATTGAAGCTCCCTCGTATCCTCTAACATCATGAATTCCTCTCAGAGAGCCACAAAGTGGCTGAGGCTGGAAGGCATTTCTGGGGATCAACCAGTTCAGCTCTCCTGCTCAGAACAAGGTCACTTGGAGCAGGTTGCCCAGAGCCAGGTCCCCTTGAGTTTTGAATATCTCCAAGGATGGAGACTCTCCAACATCTCTAGGCAAGTGTTCTAGTGCTTGATCACTCTTGCAGTAAAAAAAAGTTTTCTTATGTTTAAAATTTTTTTTTTTTTGTATTTCTATTTGTGCACATTGCCTCATGTCCTGTGACTGGATATCACTGAGGAGAATTGGGATCCATCTTCTTTACTGCTTCCCACCAGGTATTTATACACACAGCCAGGATGTTTCTGAGTCTTCTCAAAACTGAACGTTGTCAAGAATGATGAAAGTAAGAATAGTATATGCGAGTTTGCATGTATTTACTTTTCAGGCTTTAAGAATTCAGAATATTTTCTGGGTCATATGCTCAAGCTAATAGGGAGTTCTGATTTTAAGTGTAACTGTCAACTCTTGTGTAATTGCATGTCTTCAGCAGCTGAGAGTTTCAGGAAAATAGCCTTGTGATAGAAATGGGAATGTTTGCAAAGTTGTGTCAAACTGATCAGTTTTCAAAAGGAAAAATGGAGGATCTTCCCTTGAGTCAGGTAGCGGTTGCTTTTAAAAGAGCATCAGAGCAGAAGTTGTGTGTGCCAGGAATAAGGTCTGGTGCAGATAATGCCCCATTCCTATAGCAGTCGTGGAGCTAGAAACCTAGACCCTGGTCACCATTTGTTCCTCAGATGTTTTGGGGGACTCCTAGTGTCTCACTGTGAAGCTCGCTTGTACGTCAAACATCATCTGAGCACTAGCAGATCATTTACTGAAAGTGTCTCCTGTACCTTAACCAAGACGCCAAAGTTTGTCTTCATGTGAGTTTTGCCCTTCATTTGTCTTTCTGGCATATGGGCAACAGAAGGTCTCAGCTTCTAACAGAGTGAAAGAACTTTACATATGGTTTAATTACAGTAAACTATCAACAACAGGAAGAGTTTGCTGGGGGACAGCTGAAGCCCACTCATGGATTCAGTGGACGTCTGCTCAGGATTCAATGCTCTGCCACATTTGACAGTGACACTTTGATGCACCTTAGAGAAAATTGTTCCAAGAAAAGTCCATCCCTTAGCGTCTCTGTGCACTGGGGGCCTTTCTCAAATTGACAGCCTGGCGTCTTGGCTGTTGTATGAGCTTAGCATCTCCTGTGCTAATTTTGGAACTTACAGTCTGAAATCCTCTCTGACTGTTGGCTTTAAGTCTACTGTTAAGTCTAAGTTTGAACATGAGCTCATATATCTTCTGGCAAGTAGCTAGATCTTCCACATCTGTTGTGCTCTCCTCATCTCATCGACAGGTACATGTTACTCAAGACTTACTTAAGGCTTCTCATAGTCCTTGTGAACACACCATAGCTCCAGAGCCTTATTTATATTAATAGCATCACCCAGGTTGTTACCCAATGGGAAGTACTTTTGTATGCGGTCTCCCAAAGAGACATGAAAGACCATGTCAGGACAATGGAGGGTTGCAGAGGATGTTCTTCCTTTGCATGATTTACATCGTGTCTTTGAAAGTGTGTCCCTCCTGTGACAGTCTGAAGCGAATAAACAAAGTTCCTGGGGAAATGGTATGCCGTGTTCAAACACTTTGCTGAACTTTAATGTTCTGTAGGTTGCAAGGAAATGACTACAAAAGCCTTGGAAGAGCAAAGGACGAAAGTTAGCTCAAGGCAAGGTGATCTTCCCTCATTAAAATCTATTTGTGCAAAGTTAAGACGTCAAAGAAATTTCATGTGTTCCAAGAGGGTATGAAAGCCCAGGTTATTAATGATCAGAAGGGATTTGGGAGTCCTGTTTGCCAAAGCGGAGGGAGTAGTGAAAGAACGAGAAAGTAAAAAGGAAAGAAAATAAAAAATACTGTATTTGCACTTTTAGTGTTATCTGGGTAGAATAATGAATRCAACTGCCTTAACAACTTTTTTTTTCCCTCCAGTACAGATCATATGAATGATTTTAAAGGAAAAAAAATCATCAAAATTCAGCTGGAGATTTTGCATGCAGTTCTTCAAGCTTTACTGCTGCCTACACAAAGACCCGCAAATGAGTTCCAGGGGCAACCTGCTACCGTTTCCTGATTTTTATAGAAAGTGAATGAGGTTGCTAAAGACCAGATTATTGATTCTGAGATTATTAAGATTTATGCTTGTGTGGATGGTGTGTGCCCAGAATCTTGATATCACGGGCAAGTTTAGAACACGGTATTTAATGCTAACCCTTGTACCTGCCACATTTTCATAGCTCAAAACAGCAGCACTGTAACATCTGAGTCGTCCTTCCTCTGTAGCCTGGGATTATAGGGAGGGACTGAGACAGCGTTTCTGCTCTTTAATGTTTTCCTCAGCAGTACCTCATGTTTGGCCTCTGGTTCCTCCTCAGGCTCGGAGAAGAGACCCTGTTTTTTATTGATCTCCCTTCTACCTGCTTCAGATGAATGCTCAGCCGCTGCCTCGGGACCCAGCAAGGAGCTGTCTTCCACAGGTGAGTCTTTGCTGTAGGWTGAGGTGTCATTCATGGCTCCTGGGTTATTCTCAAGAGTCACAAAGGCAGGTCCAGCTGCAGCATTTGAGAGGATTTAGCCCCTGTGCTACATGACACCAGGCTCCCTTCTTTGCCCCTTTACTTGTCTTTGAGGGTACAATAGGGAACATGTTACAGGTCCCTGCTAGAGGTACTTATTTTTGCATATTTGCATTTTATTTGGGTCTTTGAAAATTCAATTGGTGCCACTGTTTTTTAGGAGCAAGATGAAGTTATTAAATCATACTTTAGGTTAAAGTTTCAGCTGAATCCTTAGCRATGACAGTATCAGGCCCATTTACAGTCCAGGAATCAAATACTGTCTAGATGCAAAACTCTGTGGTCGTCCAAGGTTTGGCCCTCCAGATGCACAAGCACTGACAGAATCAGTATTTGCATCTATGTGAGAAGATCCCTGAGCGGGAAGGAAGCACCATGGGCCCAGATGGGATCTGTGGTGGGACCCACCTGGGGAGGGGGACAGCAAATGGGGGTCACATAGCTCACCCAAAACCCAAGCTTGGGAAGCTGAGCTCTCCAGGCCCTGTCAGAGCCAGGATTGCTCCTTGAGTAGTAACCGCTGAAAATGCACATAGAGCTTGCTATAGAGCTTGCTGCATGGAGGGCCTTTTTTCTTTTTTYTTCCCCCTTTCCTGAGAAATCAGCAGAAATCTCCTATCTCTGG